TTCGTGTTTGTTACTTGTGAATTAGTAATCATATATCAAATTCATTTCATGCAGATAGATTCGGATGATGTTTTGAATAATTTAAGTTTCTTCACGACCATAAAAATAGTATTTAAATTTATGAATATACACGTTACTTTAATAAAAGATGAATATCGTTTCGTAAAATTTGTTTCACAGATTAATGTAAGTAATTTTAATTTTACAGATTTATATGTTTTTTAAATGTAATTTCTCGCATAAAATATTCGTTCGCTTTTTCGGATCATTCAATCCAGTTTCATGTTTTCATATTCATATTTAATTTTCGGATTTCATCACATGCGGACTATCATCTCCCTCTTGGACAAGCTGTGCCTGATGCATATCTTGAGACCTGTTAGTTGTTATCAGTGCCATCTCCTCAGATCACTCAATTAATCTATCTCGCTCATTCCTCTCCCTTGCTTACACTTCGGTCCTCTCTCACAATCTTCACTGCCAATTAATAAACTAAATTCATCTATATACTACTCAGTTCTGAAATTTTACTCATACTATCATTTCAATTTATCCGTAATACGCTTATTACTCTCCACATTGCAACTAACTGATCTCCGGTTTGATAATGTGACGGCTGCTAGTATCCAGAAACCGTACTGCCCTGAAACAAACGTTTCATTCAAATCCCGAGACATACAAACTCACAACCAACTACCAACTGACTAGAATTAGACAGTCGAGTGGCTAGACCTCCATCCATTGGACATTACCGAACACCTGGAACCGTACTGAAAGAACAAGAATCGAGCGCGAAGAAATCAAATTGGTTTACACTAGCTCGTGAAAAATATATTATATATTTGATATTGGAGATTTTGGATATAATAAACATTTATAAGTTTGCATTGAATATCTAGTTGTTATTTTATGACGAACTAATAAACTTCATCAGAATACTGAACAACCCTGTGAGTAATGATTGTTTATTGTGATGCAACTTGGAAGTAATTAAGAGTGGAAATCTGTATTCGATGAATACTAAATCAGCTCCAAGTCATGTGTGTACATCGACTATGATATTGATTGTTGCAGAATATATGTGAATTTACCGATGTCATTGCTTCTGAAAAATTTGCATTGTTCATCCTCATAAAGACCTACTTCTTCTCGTAGTTTGCATTGAATATTGGTTTTTAGGGCTATGCATAGAAAATATCAGCTTGATGGATGATTTTGAAACGTGTAAACGCCTATCTCGATTTGTGATAGTTGATAACATTGATCTTATAGGAATTTGCCATAAAACATGATTGCTGTGTTTGTCATTATTGATCAATAATTGTTGTTTTATCAAATCTATTTCATACAGAGAAAATTAGATAAAGCTTCAAAGAATAATGAAGAAATAATACGGAAACTAAACCGTGAGACATATGTCCAAGTTGTGAAATGTCTCTCATCAACATTGAAGAATTGTATTGAATGTTGTCAATATGTACTTGTAAGTGGGGGTATTCTTAAAAAATTACAATGAATTTCATGTGTCACTTCTAATCGAAAATGCCGCTTAACATATGAAGTCAATTTACTCAGTTTTTCGTTTGTACTGGATAGTGTAAAACATAATCGCAATGAAACACAACAAGCTGAGATAATAAACTTTACAACAGACTTATATCTACACATAATTGATTTAGAATACATTGACTCCAAATGTCAGAGTGTTACAAAGCAGTGTCAATTCAATTTATTTTATCCTATGAATTTTATATACTTACGTACGTACCATTTATCAACTGTTACTCCCATCAACCAGATTTCTCCAAACCCCCCTGTCCTGGGCTTCCGTTTACAATTCTGTATAATTTTCGTTCATTTTTCCCATTCATGTCTTTCTCTTTTTCTCGGCGTGATGTGTTCCTTGATCTTTCGTTTTTGATTTTGCATTGGGGTTTCCGACTAAGGGCTTGTCTTGTGACGCAGTTAGGCGCTTTTCGCAATGTGTGTGCTATCCACTCACAACACTTCTTCCTGATTTCCCCTCCGCTTGAATCTGGTTTGTTCTCTCCCTTTAGCACGTTGCTGCTGATCGTGTCAAGTCCATGAATCCGAGGCATTTTGCGTAGACAACTGTGAATAAATGCTTGTATCTTCTGGATGATGGATTTCGTAGTTCTACAATTTTCTGCTCCATACAGTAGAACTGTCTTGACACTCGTATTGAAATCCTGACTTTGATTTTGTTTGAAAGTTGTTTGTGGTTCCAGAAATTTTCAACTGTCAAAGTGCAGCCCTTGCATTGCCAATCTGCGCCCTCACATCTACATCGGATCCATCTTGGTTGTTGATGATACCGCCTGGATATGTAAAGTGGTCACGTTATTCAAAGCATCTTCATTAGGAAAGATTAGGTTGATGCATGTTGCGTTGCATCAACGAATTTCGATATTCCTTTTGTGTATTTTGAGACATACTACAGATGAAGCTGCTGCTACACTTGTCGTCTTCTCTTACATTAGTTGTTGCACGTTAGATAGAAGAGCAAGGTCAACTGCAAAGTCCAGATCATCCAGCTTTATCCAAGCTTTTCATTGATTACCGTGATTTACTACAGATATACAGGTCTTCCTAATCCTGTCGATCACCAGAAGAAATAGAGATGGTGAGAGTTAGAAACCTTGCCTGACACCAGGATCCACCTCTAACGAGCGTTTTCCTGTCCAGTCTATCGAATTTTTCCTGGTAGTCGATGAAATTCCTGTAGCGTGGTCAGTTTCATTACACAGATTTCTCCATAATCATCCGTAGTGTTGCAATTGGGTCAGTACACGATCGATCCTTACGAAATCCGGCTTTTTGATCTCGTAGTTGAGCGTCTACGAAGTCTTTCATTCTGTTAAACGAGACCCTTTTGAAGACTTTGCCTGGTATTGAGAGAAGGCTGATGCCGTTTTAGTTCTCACACTTGCTGAGATCGCCGCTATCTAGTATTTTACTCAGGTATCCCTCCAGCTGATGTGATGGTACTTGTTCCTAAACCCAAATCTTGAATGGAATGTGAAATATTTTCACAGTTGCTTGACTGTCTGCTTTCGTTGCTTCTACTGGAATGTTGTCTTGTATTTCTTCTTTGCCGATCTTGAAATGTCTGATTGCCATACTGATCGCTTGAATTGTGGTTGCACCAACACACATTCAGAGATCCGTGCATGCTGCTTTGTTTTTCGGTGTAATCAGTGGAGCTGGTCGATTCAAAAGTTACTTAAAATGCTCTACCCACCTATTTCGCTGTTCTTCAGTGTTTCTGAATAACTGGCCTTCGTTGCTTTTCACTGGACGTTCTGGTTTACGATAGTTTCGGTCCTCCTTCTTTGTTGTTTCGTACTATTGCCTCACGTTTCCTTCTCTCGCAGCCTTTTCCAACGTGGTTACTATATCTTTCACATATTTTCGTTTGTCAGCCATGATGTTTTTCTACACTTTACTGTATGTTTCTGAGTATTCAGTTTGTGCGTTGAATTTCTCTGCTCTTGTTTGGCTGACATTCACTGCTGCCTTATTGTTCTTCCTTTCTTCAATATTTGCAAGAGTATCAACAGAGATCCGTTCCTTATGAGGGTACTTCTTGTGACCCAGAAGCTCCTGACATGTTGAAGTGATTGCCTCCTAAATCCCCTTTCAATTGCTCTCCAATGTTGCTTCCTCTCCATTGAGTATATCGTGCAAAACTTGTAACCAGTTGGTGAGAACTATCTTGAATTCGATGAGTGTTACGGTATCCCGGAGACAAACTGTATTACACTTGTGTGATGTTGTCTGCCGTATTGTCCAGTGCATCTTCAGTTTCAGTCTCATTTTGAAGACTAGCAAGTGGTGATCTGAGACTATATCAGCTGCTCTCTTGGTTCTCATATACTCCATAAGCCTTCTGAACGTTTATTTGATACATATATGGTCGATTTGTTTCTGAGTAGAGTGATCCGGTGAAACCCATGTAGCTTTGTACAGGCGCTTGTGTCAGAATATTGGGCCACTGATGACCAGTTTGTTGAAGGCACATAGGTTAGCAAATCTCTCACCGTTTTCGTTCGCTTCTTCCAGTCCATGTCATCCATGATGTCTTCATATCCAGTTGTCCATTCCAACCTTGGCATTTCGGTCTTCCATCACAATCGTCGAATCCTTTGATGAGCATCTGTCGACGATTGACCGCAGCCTTTCGTAGCATTGATCTCTCCCGTCGTGATTGTATTCATTTTAAGGTGCATAGCATTGGATGATGTTCGTTGTGATGTCCTCTCTCTTTGTTTTGAAGGCTGCTTTGGTAGAAGTGATGAACCTCTAATTTCTCGAATGCTTTTTATAGGGGAAATCGCGTAAGTTTTCACCAATGAGCCCTCATCTGTTAAGAAGGAATCCATCACTGATTGATTGGTTAAGTCTGAAAAAATGATACTACTGAGTGTACATTTCTTTAGGCCACTGCATGTCTAGTTAATCAGTATAAGTGACGTTCCTCAACAACTAACATCTAAGTTATTGCTTTTTCTGACAGTATAAAAAACTTGGAGAAAAGTGTGTAGCCTAGGTGGTAAGCTGAATTTTGATGGAAGATATGACTCAGCTTTAAAGTAGGGCGAATAAAAAAGCGGACTTTTATTATTACATATCACATTATGCAGACTATAGATACAGCTCAAGTAACTCCTCTCAAAAAGTGTTCTAATTTGAAAAAGATCCAGGGGACGATCTAAAATGCTTACGCTAACTGAAACAAAAATTACGTTTCATACAACCGTATTGAACATTGTTTTTCCACAAATCTTGTATGTGAACCGCTACATCTGTTGTCTTTGCGTTAGAATGAGCGACTATTCAGATTCAGACGAATCACTTAACGAGTCTCCACCTAAAAAAAAGAACAAATCTCAAAGTACACTGAAAAGGATCTTTCTGATGACAATGATGAAGAAGAAGAGGACGATGAGAAGAGGAGGAAGAGGATGATGGTTGATGACGATGAAGAACCTGCTTTAACATCCAAAAGAAAGAGAAGAATGAACTTCGCAGTTAAGGTAAGATACGTGAATTTCTTAGGATTCATTGATATTTTATCGTTTCGTTCCAATGGTGATATTCACTGATGGTCCTGAAAACACCCATGATAAGTTGTATGCAATACTTCCATGGAAATTTTCCTATTGTTCTCCACAATATATAAAAGTATAATGTATCTCTCTTCATATTTTGTTCTTCGGACTATACTGATTTAGGATTCTTGAGATAAAATAAGTGTGTTGATAGATATACAGTATTCCATTACGAGTTTCCCACCTGTGAGGTCCTACTCATGAACTGTATTAAAATTGGTGAGCATATAAACATCCTCAACACACATTTCACCTCAAATGCTTTAAGCTGCAGACAATGTAGTAAGCAGAACAGTTTAGCATCCTTAACCTTTAAATGCGTATAAAGTTACATTTTGAATAAATATAATGGGTATAATAATACTCCTTCAATAAATACCCAAGATATTTTCGACCATTTTTGAGCAAATGAGGATATCAACTACTCAGAACCACCTCATATAAGTGCAAGGCATGAGCACACGAAATCAGATATGTCTAGATTACTTCATTCAACCGTAGTAATTTCCTAAACTTTCGTCCTATGTTTAAACGTCAGGTAAGTAATTTTGATGACATGCGAATTTCCTGAAGACCGTTAATCAGTCTGAAACCACCGGTTTATATTAACCTAAATGTTTAGAAAGTGTCACATGCCTATTCACTGTGCATTTTTTGACGGGTTGATTTTGTAGAATTGCATTAGTGATCAGACTTATAATCTTATCCCACAATCTGTTTGCTTTCAGTTAAATACAAATTGGTAGTTCCTGAATTAGGGTCCACAACATAGTCGTAAAAGTGGCAGTAACAAATTATTCTATTCAGAAATCTCCTTAGATTCAAATATCCTGGAGTTTTGGAATGCTCAACCATCGGACTACCTCGTCAACATGTTGAGTGTTGTAGAGTGAGGTTGGAAGAAATGTAGGGGACGATCGAGACCAAACATGGCTCAAATCCATGAAAGCCACTGGCAAATGGACTGAGCCATGTTGGTAGATGTAGGACTACCGGATTGGGATCCACGACATGATAGTAAATCCGATCGTTCGAGACCTTGAGTGACATGGCCTCAAATCGTATGCTGTGGTGCAGAGTGTAATCCATTCTCTGTGTTCTCGACAAATCCTAGTCCTCTGGATTATTCATCATGTTTTATGTCTCTTTTTAAATTGATTTCACTGGATTACACTTCTCAGATGATAACTTCGACCACTAATCTTTTTGATTACCGTTAATACTTCTACTCCCTCTGCTACTATGGGATTTGAGTTGATAATTGCGTTCCTGTGCTAATGTGGTCTGGCGACCTGAGCTGATGTACGTATGTACGAAGTTCTGCGTTGTAGCTAGCTTACTGAGATAGTTAAGTGTGTGACATCATGAGAGACATCATTGAGATTCTTATTAATCTGTAACCAAAACACCTAGCGAATATCTTTTTCCAAATTGCATGATCATTTTGAAAATTCGATGTCTAGAATCTGTTTTGTAAATTCATATTCGTAAACAGTAAAACGTCGTCGGAAATCTATCAACTTTTTTAACCTTCCTATGAGAATGGAAATAGATGCTATTCAGAGTTACTGCGTATCTTTAGAAACACTTGGTGAGATTGAGGATGTGTATTGTGTGAAGTGGTTGGATTATATGATGAGCATGTTAGTAGTAGTAGTACTTATAGTGGGATGACGTCGAGAAAATGTCACACGCATTCAAAAACAAAAACAACTCACTAGTCTTAACATTGTTCTCAACTTTAAGGTGATTTATGTTTGAGTAATTCACTGACAAGTTTTGGGACTAAGTGGTAAACTCTTGTTCTTTCAATGATTAACAATAACTTATGTGCTAAGTAATGCGATATTTTTCAGTTAAAACGTTAACCGTGTTCTTTGAATATTATGTTATTCGTTTATATAACTTTACTAATTAATATTTTTCACTGTTGCATAGGATATGTTCCATGATGAAGCTTCAGTTGACGAGGATGATGAAGAAGAAGATGAAGAATATGATGATGATGGAGAACTTATTGGTCCGGAAGATGAAGAAGCATTGGATGCTGTACCTGCAGCTCGAGAATTAGATTCTCGTCGAAGAATACGTGAGATCATGGATCAAGATGAAGAGGAAATAGAAAGATATTATCAAGAGCGTTATGAAAATCAAAATTATGTTGATCGTTTTGGTGATGGTGAGGCTATGGCTGATAGTATTGTTCAAAAAGAGCGTCTTCCAGGTATTAAAGATCCTAATCTCTGGGCACTTCGATGTAAAATGGGTGAAGAAAAAGCTACTGTACTTGCACTAATGCGTAAATTTATAGCCTATCAATTTTCTGACACTCCATTACAAATTAAATCAGCCTTTGCAAAAGAAGGTCTGAAGGGTTATATTTACGTTGAAGCTTTCAAGCAAACTCATGTGAAACAAGCTATAGATGGTATAACAGCTTTACGACTTTCTACCTATAAACAACAACTTGTTCCAATTGAAGAAATGACAGAAGTTGTACGCGTTGTCAAAGAAACTGGTCAACTTAAACCTGACCAATGGGTTCGGATTAAATCTGGACTTTATCGTGATGATTTAGCATTGGTAAGTACAAACGGCTTGACCTTCTGTTGTGAAATCGAATCTTATTACTATGGGTGTTATTTATTTAAAAGTTCTTTCTAATTGGCGGTCTTATGTCTCATTTAAAAAGCTTTCCTCATCACTCTAGATAACATTCTACGTAAAAATAATGTAGTACTGGTATTTTGATGAATAATAGTAATAGTAATGGTTGCTTTATTCAGTACAATATATTTGGTACAGTATGAATTTCTCTGAATGGAATATCTCAACAAGTTTCCCTTGTTCTGTGTTATATGTAACGGAAAATGTGTTTAAAATTAGAATTTTTCTAAGGTAAAAAACAAAGCTTACAGTTAGTAAACGCATTTTTTTATGCTTTACCTTCGGAATTGGTTCTCTGTGTACAACCAGTGAAAACCAGAAAAGACTGAACCGTTTCATCCTTGCTAGAGACTCCTTACTAGCATGTATCCACGATCTTGTTATAGATCAAAACATGGACCTGGCGCACTTCAGAGCAAGTAATTAGCCCACTTTTTGTCAACAGTATAAACTTTACTCTAATATACATGAATATTTATATGAATATGTTAAACCAATCAAGGCAATTCGAGTCAATAATCACAATGAAATGAAATAGATTACGACGTCACTACACATAATAGGCAAAAGTACAAGTTGATAGTAGGAAGACTGAGGTGTACTGATAGTAGTAAGAAAATTATAAAATACGATAACTAAAGTTTTATCAATAGTAGAGTCAAACGTGGATAAATAGACTTAAAATAATCATTACAAAACATTGGAATCATCACGTAATAAGAAGTGTGTACATAATTAGATAGTGAAGAATATAAGCTTTTTAACAAGAAGAATCGTGCAAATAAGTATCCGATTAAGCGTAATAAACATTACACATTAAATTATTTCTGATGACAGTATATGAACCGACTGCCGCGACGAGCTATATTTTGTGGTGTACGAGTAGGTTGGAAGGAAGTTAGGGGCGGCCAAACCAAAACATGGCAGAAATGCATGAAGTCACTGACAAGTGGACTGAGTCATGTTGGTAGATGTGGTCTACCTGGTTGGGGTCCACGAGACGAAAGTCACCAATGGTTAGAGACCTTGAATGACATGGGTCAAAATCGTTTGCAGTGACGCAGATGCATCCACTCTTTGTGTTCTCTCAAATTCTGATCTTCTGAATTCCTCATAATCTCTATCTTTCTCCTCCTAAATTTATCTCACTGAATTATACCCTACTCTTCTTCTACTATCGCTATCAGTCTTAGATTTGAACTGACAGTTACATCTCTGTGTTAATGCGTGGTATAACAACTTGAACTGATGTACTTATGTACGAAGTTCTGTGTTGTATCTGTCTGTCTGTCTGTCTGTATATGAACCTTTAATATTACATAAACAATATTTCATTTCATCTCATAATTTTTTTTTGCTAAACATGTTTACTAAATCACTTTTGCTAACTCAAATTGCTTGTACAATAAATGGAGTGAGGTGATTATGTAGTGAACAAGAACACAGGTGGGGCAACTGAATTGTATTTAACGAAAATTACAGAGTTACTCAGTCAAATCGGAAAACCATATCGTAAATCGTTTTAATTTGCAAAATATCAGTTCATCATATCGAACTGGACGACTGTTCCTGTTGCAAAACATCATCAATCCATTGTCACTACTATTCATGCTATTTCATACAAATTCCATTGTGTTCTTCTAACTCTTCCTTTCTCTTGATCTTCCTCCATCTTCTTCTGCTGCCAGACATTATTACGTTGACACTCACGTCACATACTACTTATAAGTAGCTCACACCACAATTATATTCAGTTAAACAATTTTCCAATAATTTCTTTCCTTCATTTTTGTCAGGTTGAATATGTTGAAGATGCACAAAATTTAGTCGGTCTTAAATTAGTTCCACGAATTGATTATGAACGTAAACGTAATCGTGGTATGGATTTAGAAAATGATATCAATAATAATAATAATATTACTAAGTTTAAACGTTTCAAACGTCCAGCTCCAGCGTTATTCAATGCATCGAAATTAGCTGATCGTATACAACGTGATGGTTCGTCGATGATTTTCGAGGGGAATCGTTATGATGCTGATGGTTTCTTGCATAAACAATTTCGTATTAATGCTGTGGTAAGTAAAAATATTATCCTTATTTTTTTCTTCGTGTTAATATCTTATTGAACTTTGAACGTGTCAAGTTTCAAGTGTATCATGACCTTATAAAAATTGTTGTATACTTGTTAATTGTTGTAGATAAGAGAGGTAGTAGGGGTTGTAGGAAGGATTTGATTTTGACCAATTTGGTCTCATGTGTTGTTACGGGTATGAGGGTGGTTGTCACTTCCCGGTTGCTTACACCGTGGAAGGTTGTTTCTTGAGGGACCTGAAAAGGAAGGTAGATTAGCGTTGGTCTTAGAAACCTGAGAGCGTGACCTCAGAGCCCAAGGGACAATTGCTTGAGGCCGGTCACGCACAGCCTTTATATGAAAGGATTTTTGAGGATTAGCTCCGTTCTTAAAAGCCCTTAGTGGGCACCCTTACTGCCGGAGACGGGAATCTGTGAGTTAGAGTGAGGTGTGACATTTTTAGGGTCGACCACCTTCTAACCCTTCCTTCCTTCCTTGTGAGAAGGCAGCAGCATCGCTGCAGATGCTGGTTGTCCGAGGGAAACACCTTACTGCTGTCACACCCCTCTGCAGTCAGCAGTACGACTTCGCCCTCAGACGTTGAGTAGCTGCTTTTAGTCTCATCGTTCTCCAATCGACCTGCCTGTCATGGCAGAACCTTCAGGAAGATATGTTCCAGCCAGTTGGGTCATCACGATAGGCAAGCCCGACCACCACGTCAAGGTAGAAGCTACGGTCGGGATTGATCAAAGGTAGATATTAACACTGTTAGATGCCAGTCGCCGGCTCAGTGGTCCAGAGGTTAGGCGTTGGCGCGCGAGATCGAAGATCCTGGATGCGGACTGCCACTGATGAAGTCCCATACCGGGACGAAACGACAGTCTTCCAATGCATTCAAGTTTCTAATGCTGATCTAACAATGATTGGTTCATGATTTGTATAGTCTTATGGGGAAAACAATTACAGTTGACATAACAGTGTGTTTGTCAACTTACAAATATTTGTAATTCTATTTTTAATTGTTATTCAATTATAATAAGAATAAATTATTTTGAAAATGATCAAATTATTCATAATTATTGATTAAACAAGGAGAAGAAAACATTCAATCAATTACTGTTTGTTAGGCCTGCACGTAAACATGTCAACTTGATATACTTGAACTATTACGAGTTTACCTAGTCGGAAAACGAGAGCGAGGATCGAGAATCCGGCGACATGACATGCTACTCAAATCCGATTACCCCAACCCCCATATTGAGTAAAAATAAGAAGACTTGAATGTGAAGTAGAACCTGTATTCTACAAGTATCCAGAAAGTACGAGGTCCGAGTCCAGAAGAGAATCAGGATCACGGACTAGGGATCCGGGTCCTTTTCGTGGTCATAAAACGTAACAGATAATGCGTATTTATACATTTTGGTCAAATAAGAAACAACATCGAAGTCTGTGACATTGACAGTTAAGACGACCAATAGGAAGCAACATTTGATGTGACATTGATAGTCAGGTCAACCAATAAGAAACAACATTGGAGCACGTGACATTGATATCTACTAGGACGACCATAAAATTGACCAGTAGGAATTAACTAATAAGCATTGACCAATAATTCTCTTAGGATATTGGATGAATATTTTAACACCATTATTTTTCTTGTTGTTGTTGTTGTTATTGTTTCAGTTTACCGAAGGTATTCGACCGACATTAGCTGAATTAGAACGATTTCATCATACTCCTGATAGTTTACAAATAGCCGCTGCCGCTGCTAATGCTGCAGCAAATTTAACTTCAACTATTAGTACAGAAATTGCATTGAATCATTGTTTTACTCCAGGTGATATTGTTGAAGTATGCGAAGGTGATTTAAAAAATCTACGCGGTAAAATTGTATCAATTGAAAGTAATCATCGAATAATTGTACAACCAAATCATTCGGATTTAAAAGAACCAATACCATTTACACCAGTGGAATTAAGAAAATTTTTTAATCAAGGTGATCATGTTAAGGTAAGATAATTTTTAAGCTTTTTTTATTTATATGTTGATCTGGTTTACAAAAAAAGATGGAAAGTTTCAAATTTGATTCATCAGTCAGTTAGTCAGTCAGTAAGCAAGAATCTAGAACTTCGTAGGTACCTACGTACGGTACATCAGTTCAAGTTGTCATACCACACCATATTAGCCGCAGAAAGATGTAATTGTCGATTCAAATCCCATAGTGTTGTAGAGCTAGTATGAAGTATAGGAGGTAATAGAGACGACTAGGGTTCGAAGATCACATTATTCAAGAAGTATAATACAGTGTAATCAATTTGAGAACAGAACAATAAACGTTATGAGGAATTATTAAAATTAGAATTTGTGAGAACTTAACGAGTGGATGTATAATGCACCATCGCAGACGATTCTGAGTCATGTCATTTTAAAGTCTCTAACTATTGGTTAATATCATCTCGCGGACTCCAACGATTCTGAGCCATGTCGTTCATAGTTAGAGACCTTGAACGACATGGCTCAGAATCGTTGCGGTTCGCGAGATGATAAAAATCAATGGTTAGAGACCCTGAATGACTAGGCTCAAAACCGTTTGCAATGGCGCAGGTGCATCCATTCTTTGTCTTCTTTCAAATCCTAATCTTCTGGATTCGTCAACACCTCTACGTTCATCTTTCTAAATTTATCTCACTGAATTATACTTCTCGAATTATATCTTCGAACCCTAATCTTCTCTATCACTGCTAATAATTCTCCGTGAATTTGATCAAGTTAGGCATTAACACCGTTAGATATCGGCTCAGTGGTCTATCGGTTAGGGCGTTCGCGCACAATACCGAAGATCCTGGGTTCGAATCCTGCGGGGTGCAGGAGTCGTGGATGCGCACTGCTGAGGAGTCCCATACCAGGACGATACGGCCGTCCAGTACTTCCAGGTTTCTAATGGTGATCTAACCTTGATCGATCCATGGTTTCAAAAAATGTGTAACTTAACAATCTTCACAACCCCTATTCATTATTATATATATATGTGTGTGTGTACAGTAAGTATTTTCATCACGAATCACACTTTTTTTTTATCTTTTCTGTTTTTTTTTTGTAAAAGGTTCTCAATGGTCGACATGTCAATGAAACTGGTTTAGTAATACGTTTTGATCCTAGTTTAGCTGTTGTTTTATCCGACCATAGTATGAATGAAATGAAAATTGCACCGAAAGATTTACGTTTATGGCAAGATCGTGCTACCACGGTGGAATCATCAGGTCATATACAATTGATGGATTTAGTACAAATTGATCCACAAACTGTTGGTGTTGTTGTTCATGTAGAACGTGATCAAATCTCTGTATTAACATGTTTTGGTAAAGTAGTAAATTTAAAATCTAATACAGCATTACGTCGTTTAATGAATACAATGCGTGGTCGACCACCACAAGCATTAGATCGTAATGGTAATTCAATACAATTAAAACAAACTGTACGTTTATTAGAAAAACCATATTATGGTTTAATTGGTGAAGTGAAACATTTATATCGTTCATGGGCATTTATTTATTGTCGTACACATTTAGAAAATGCTGGTCTTGTTGTAGTGAAAACACGTCAACTTTCAGCGTTGACTACTTCACAAAATGCTAATGAGCAGAATAATAATGTTGAAAATAATGGTATTCGAATGAAAACAATCACACCGATTAATGGAACAAGAAACTTTGGTGGTGGTGGTGGTGGTGCTGGTGGTGCTGGCGGTAATTCAGAAGGTGGACGTGGTAGAGGTAATCGTAATGAACGTCAATTAGTTGGTAGGACAGCTTTAATTGTTAAGGTTTGTTTGTTTTTATTCTCTCATTTTCATTTGAATGTTTCACAATCTTCAAATTGGTTTTATTGTGAAATTGAATATTTTTTTTTAACTAAGAGTTGACAAAAACTACTACTACTGTGGTGCGCGCTACTTATAAGTAGTATATGACGCGAGTAAAAACGTAATGTCTGGCAGCAGAAAGATGGGGGAAGATTAAGAAAGGAAGAGTAGGAACACAATGGGATTTGTATGAAACGCATGAATAGTGAAATGTCAGACAATGGATTGATGATGGACTGAAGATTTGCAAATTAACCGTTTACGATATGGTTTTTCTATTTTACCAAATAACTGTAATTTTCATTAAATACAATTCGGTTGCCCTCACCTTTGTTCTCTTTCACTACATTTATCGTTCCTTGTACGATCCACTGGTAATGCTGCAATCTTACGCTCCAACTCCTCAATCTTCTTCTCAATAGTATTTATCTCCTGCTTTCCGCACCCGACCGGAGCTACTGTTCGTGTCATCAGCTGACGAGTCACCTTCTCCAGTTCACCGATATCCATAGGTTGCGCTGCGTTTACTAGTCTCAGCTGCTGGGACACGGCGGCAGGAAAACGCTCGATAAACTGCGACGCCAACAACTGTGCCTCCGACTCCTCATCGATATTCGGCAGCGCACGGCGCAACAATCTGGTAAGCTCCACAGCCAGCACCAGTGGGTCACCATCGACCGACAACCTCGCCAACCGAAACTTCTGCAGCGCTTCCTCCCTGTCCACTGGGCTGTCGGACTCCGTCATCAACCGCTCCGTGACCGTCTCCCTGTCGTCTTCCCGCTAGCGCCGTCCAAGCTGTCATATACGGCCTTTGCCCTACTTCTCGGCAGCGTCCCCAGCACCACCAACTTCGCCTTCGGCTCCTTCACACCCACCAGCTCCGCCACGGCCTCAAACTCCTTCAGGAAGCTCCGCATATCTCCGTCCTCAAATTCCTTCGGCCATGGAATCTTCATCCTCAAATTACAGAGTTAATTGGTGAAATAGGAAAACCATATCAATCTATAATATCGAACTGGACTGTTCCTGTTGCAAAACATCAATCCATTGTCTGACATTTCACTGTTCATGCGTTTCATACAAATTCCATTGTGTTCCCACTCTTCTGCCTTACTTGATCTTCCCCCATCTTCTGCTGCCAGACATTATGTTTTTACTCGCATCATATACTACTTATAAGTAGCGCGCACCACACTACTACTGAATTTTCTATCTAAATAGTGTAACATGTGTTATCAGCAGTCACCAAACAGCGGATCAGATTTAAAATTGAAACACACCAAGAGGAGAACACGAAATACCGGCCACGGTACTCTTTTATTTTAAAATTAAGTTACGCTGGGTTTTTACAGGATAGTGATGGCTAGTTTACCAAGTCTTATAAGTCATCCTTTAGGTTTTTTAGTATTCAGGGCTTGTTCTTCAGCTCCCAAAGCGTTTATATTTGGTCGCCCTGCAATAGAAAGAAAACAGAACGAATTAGCAACATCATACATAGTGATTTTGACTCCGTTACACCATTCCCTCTCATATTGAGGCACTGTCCTCAGGGTTTTAAACTAGTATTCTCTCAATTTTATAATCGACTTGTTAAAAATCAATTGACTGCCTAAACTATTTGTTCGAAATGTACATTGTCAAATTAATTTTGAGAATCAAATTAATATTATGGTAGACAAACAGACAGATACAACGCAGAACTTCGTAGGTAAGTACATCAGTTCAGGTTGCCATACCATGTCAGCACAGAGACGTAACTGTCAGTTCAGATCCAAGATTGATAGCGATAATAGAAGTATTAGCAGTAATGGAGAAGATTAAATAGCAAAGATATGATTCGAGAAGTATAATTCAGTGAAATAAATTTAGAAAGAGAAAGATAGAGATTTTGAGGAATTCAGAAGGTTAGAATTAAAAAGCACACATAGATTGGATGCACCTGCGCCATTGGAAACGATTTTGAGCCATGTCTTTCAAGGACTCTAACCATTGGTGACTTTCGTCTCGCGGACCCCAACCAGGTAGTCTACATCTACCAACATGACTCCTCAGTCCAGTTGTCAGTGACTTCATGGATTTGTGCCATGTTTTGGTCTTGCCGCCCCTAACTTTCTTCCAACCTACTCATGCACCACAATACATAGCTCGTCGAGGCAGTCGGTGGTTAGGCATACGTAACACATGTCCCAACCACCTCAACTGATGAAGTTTCACTACTTCATCTACTGCTTAGCCATCCTTACCTAGAACTCGTAGTGTTCATCTACGGCTCCTGCTGATGGGTCCTACCATATATACAACGAACCAAACGACCATACAGTGCATTTTTTAAAATTAGACCAATAATCTTAGAAGTGTCATACAATTTTACTGGATTTAAATTATCCCAACAAATTATTTCTTATGTAAATGAATTAAGATCTGTATCTTCTTAACGACGCCATATTTGTCTAGTAAAATTCTATGTTAACAATTTACAATGCAGTGTCAACATGAAATATAAACAATTTTTGTTATTTTTCAGCTTAATATAAAAATTCATCAATGATTACATTTTGATACTTAAAGTCTTTATTTCTTTCAAGACTCCTGCAACCGCAGGATTCGAACCCAGGACCTTCGGTATTGTGCGCGAACGCCCTAGACGTTAGACCACTGAGCCGGTATCTAACGGTGTTAATGTCTAACTTGATCAAACTCACGGAGTTGCGCAAACTCATACCCTGTATACATCCGAACAGGTTTGAACTTCACTGGTCATGACTTCCCACTAGAACTCGAAGAAGATTCCTCACCAAGCTAGTCACTAGTGGACACATGTAATTGCATTGCGGGGTTGTTGTGAAGATTGTTAATTTTTATTTGTAACCATGAATCGATCAATGTTACACCACCATTCGAAACTTGGAAGCACTGGACGGCCGTTTCGTCCTGGTACGGGACTCATCAGTGGCAGTGCGCATCCACGACTCCTGCAACCGCAGGATTCGAACCCAGGACCTTCGGTATTGTGCGCCTAATTCTGTTGGTCAATTCCTATTAGTTGTCCTAACTGTCAATGTCACATACTTCAAATGTTGTTTCCTATTCGACCTAACTATATAAATACGCATTATCTGTAACGTCTTGTGACCCGAATCCGAATCCTTAGTCCGGGCTCCTGATTCTTTTGTGTACTCGGACCTCGTACTTTTTGGATGCTTGTAGAATACATGTTCTACTTCATATCAAGTCTTCGTGTTCTTTTCAATGGGGGTGTGTTTGGGACACTCGGATTAGAGTAGCCTGTCGTGTCGCTGGATCCTCCGATCCTCGCTCTCGTTTTCCAACTAAAGTAAACTCGTACTAGTTCAAGCATATCAAAAAATGGCGTGTATACATGTGCATGCATGCATGCATAACAGACTTATTTTGTCAAATGAAAAAAACGTTCCCTCCACGATCAGATGATCCATTCATCCAATCATCTTGTGTTACATAAACGAATTGATTTATTTTTCTGAAAGTATATTCTTTCAAATAGTTATATGTAAATATTTCTTTTGATATATAATCTATCTATCTATCTATATATATAGGGTACATTAAAAGGTTTATTGGGTATTATATGCGATGCAACACCAACACATGTTGTACTAGAATTACATAGTCAATTTAAAAAAGTACCAGTTGCACGTGAAAATATGGCTCTGCTAGATAGTGGTGGTCGTATTATGGATACACAATATGGTGCTACTACACCACGTACTACTATGATTACACCAATGCGTGAAATGCGTACACCACAGGTAAGTAGTAGTAAGAAGAAAATTTATTTTTTCAAAGAATTAGTGAACATTTTCAGTAAAGTTAATGTAATCATTTTTTTTTAGTTTTCGTATGAACAAGCTTATGGGGTTACAGACAGACAGACAGATACAACACAGAACTTTGTACGTAAGTACATCAGCACAGAGACGCAACTGTCAGTTTAAATCCAACAGTGATAACAATAATAGAAGTATTAGCAGTAATGAAGAAGATTAGGGAGCGAAGAGTATAATTCAGTGAGATAAATTTAGAAAGAGAAAGATAGAGATTATGAGGAATTCACAAGGTTAGAATTAGAGAGAACACTTGCGCCATTGCAAACGATTTTGAGCCATGTCATTCAAGGTCTCTAACCATTGGTGACTATCGTCTCGCGGACCCCAATCAAGTAGCCTACATCTTCCAACATGACTCAGTCCACTTGTCAGTGACTCCATGGACTTCTGCCATGTTTTTGTTCTGGCCGCTCCTAACTTTCTTCCAATACTACACCACAAAACATAGCTCGTCGAGACAGTCAGTGGTTAGGCATTCGTAACACGTGTTCCAACCATCTCAACTGACGAAGTTTCACTACTTCATCTATCGATTTGTCATCCTTACCTAGAATTCGTTTCCTAACTACAGCATTGCTTACTCGGTTGTCCCAGGATACACGAGCAATGCTTCGGAGACATCTATGATCGAATAATAGTAACCTACGAACATCTACTCTTAATGGCCATGTTTCGTATCCATATAGGAGAACGGAGCGAACTGCTGCACAGTACACCCGTCCTTCGGTTAGCGAACGGATATCTCGCCTACGCCATAAATGACACCTGTTACCTACGCCTTAATGGAACACATAAATATAAGCCATCGATCAACGACTAGCGATTGATTTTTCTAATTCGCATTTATTGTTTTTGCTTTTTTAGCAAGTTAAATTTCTACGGGATGAGTGATTAGCACATAACCCCTCATCCATGCTTTTAATTAACTCTGCTCTCCTTTTTATGCCAGGCTTAGTTGGAATCGGTAGTAGGTAAACTGTAGAATTTTTCTCCAATGAATCTGTTTGAAATTTTACAGATTCACATACAAATTACTGACGACAAGAAAAATTTTCAAATGTTATGTATAAAATTTTTTAATGTCACAATTAATGAAAGCGAAGCTTGTTCAAGTTTGCAAGTATTATTAATATTGTCAGTTTGGGGGAAAAATATCCATACCAAGGAATTAGTTTCAGTTAGGGTACCATTAAAAACTGGAGAATACTGGACAGAGACATGTTGACTCTTACTCTTAGTATGGAACTTGCCCAATAGTTGAAAGTATTCATGGATGATGTCTCATCAACAGCTAAATCTCAAATCTCAGGCCGATTCACTTACTTACTTACTTACACCTGTTACCCCTAATGGAGCATAGGCCGCCGCCAACCAGTTTTCTCCAACCAACTCTTAAAAAAAATGGTTGCTCTGGTTGTGTGAGAAGAGGCATCGGCCCTGTGACTTCCGAGGGAACTTGGCTTTCATCACGTCGTCGACGTCATAATTCTTCCTCCAACTCCCAGGGCAGAGTTAGCGTTTTTTTGGCAAGTTAGTTTTTTGGATGGAATGGTGTTGCCAACCCCATGTCTAACCCTTCTCCTTTATCCGCCGGGCTTGGAACCGGCAGTAGCCCCCCCTAAGGTTCTACTGGCGGAGTTAGGCCGATTCACTAAGAAACATAAATTATGTTGATTTTTTGAAAGTAATTAGTTCTGTCTGACTTCTTAGAAAAATCTACAATAATATTTACATTGATTCTGGTTTAGTTAAAACAAATTTTTCACAACAATTATGTTCTTGTTTTCCAAAAATATTAAATTCTTATTTTTGATGTTTGTCATTCCTTACATAAACATCAGTTGGCATATGGTGCTCAAACACCTCATGCAGCAAGTACAACACCTCGTGGTGATAGTACACCTTTACCGAGTGCATTCAATGCTGGTATGGCTACACCGAAAATTAGTAATCTTGATGAACCAATGACTCCAAGTTCTAGTAAGTTTTTATCATCAATATATATATATATATATATATATATATATGATTGATCATTAAAAGATTGATGATTTTCGCATATGATACATACTCCTTCCTCCATACATTGATCCATTGTCTACAATAGTCAGTCAGTCAGTCAGTTGCAACGTAAGAGCTTCATTACGTATGTACATAAGTTCATGTTGCCATACCACCACATTAGCACAAAGACACAAATGTCAAATCAAATCCCATAGTGATAAAGATAGTAGAGATATTAATGGTAATGAAGAAGATTAAACGGTTTAAAGATATTATTCAAGAAGTATAATTCAGTGAGATAAGGTTAGAAAGACAAAGGTAGAAGTGCTGACGAATCCAGAAGATTAGGATTTGAAAGAGCTCAATGAATGGATGCACTTGCGCCATTGCAAACGATTTTGGCCCATATCGTTCAAGGTCTCTAACCATTGGTGACTTTCGTCTCGCGGACCCCAACCAGGTAGTCTATTGTTGTATTGTCTACAAGAAATGTTCATTCAACTGAAAATCCTAAAAACAAAATAAGATTTACGTGCAAAATTTCATAAAATGGAAATTTTCCGTTGTCAGTTAGTTAGTTAGTTAAAACGTAGAACTTCGTACGTACTTACATCAGTTCAAGTTGTCGTACTACATTAGCACAGAGATGCGACAGTCGATTCAAATCCTCCTATATTGGTTAAAGGCAGTAGCTGTATTAGCGGTGATCGGAGGGATTAGAGTTCGAAGATATTATGCAACAAGTATAATTCAGTGAAATAAATTTAGAGACAAAAATAAAGAGAATACAAAGAGTGCGCCATTGCAAACGATTTTGAGCCATGTCATTCAAGGTCTCTAACCATCGGTTACTTTCGTCTCGTTGACTCCAACCAGATAGTCTACATCTACCAACTCAGTCCTTTTGTCAGTGACTTCATGGATTTGTGTCATGTTTTGGTCTGGCCGCCCCTAACGTTCTTACAACCTATTCCTACATCACAAGAAATAGCTTGACGAGGTAGTCGGTGGTTAGTCATACGCAACACATGTCCCAACCACCTCAACTGATCAAGTTTCATTACTTCATCTATTGATCTGCCATTCTTACCTAGCACCCGTTTTCTAATAACAGCGTTGCTCACTCGAGTGTCCCAGGATACTCGAGCAATGCTTCGAAGACACCTATGATCGAAAACCAGTAACCTAAGAATATCTTCTACTCTTACTGGCCATGTTTCACAGCCATAAAGTATGACGAAGCGAACTGATGCGCAGTATACTCGTCTTTTGGTTAGCGAACAGATATCTCGCCTACGACATTGGTGACGCAAGTTGGCCGAGCCTTCTATAATCGTGCTCAGATTTCATCACACACCAGACCATCAGCAATTTTCCGTTGTTGATTTCCATGTGACACTCACTACATTGATCACTGTCTACAATATATGTTTATCCAATTGGAATTCCCGAAATAAAACAAAACTTGCGTGTAAAATATCATAAAGTAGCGAATACATTTTAAAGCTGACAGTACTAGTGTGGTGTGAGCTACTTATAAGTAGTATATGACGTGAGTGTCAACCTAATGTGTGGCAGCAGAAGATGGGGGAAGATCAAGAAAGGAAGAGTGGGAACACAATGGAATTTGTATGAAACGCATGAATAGTGACAATGGATTGATGTTTGGCAACAGGAACAGTCCAGTTCCATAGGATGAACTGTTATTTTGCAAATGAACGATTTACGATATAGTTTTCCAATTTTACTGAGTAACTCTGTAATTTTCGTTAAATACAATCCGGTTGCCCCACCTGTGTTCTCGTTCACTACACTAGTTCAAAGACAGCTTTTACAAATCTAATATCAGTTAGTAAGCAGTGCTAAGATGGATAACTTAATTTTCAGGGGCTTCATAGTATCCTTTATTTTCTATCCACACTTTACTTTGCTCTCAAATGCTCTGATTTGGCTGAGAATGGAGAGGAACTTTTCTCTCTCTCTCTCTCTCTAAATGCTCTCTTATGGCCACGTGTACATAGCCACTGTCAGGGAAGTCTTTCTTCATAGTGAGGTAAAGCGAATGTCCGTGTTTTAAAATGAGTTGGTGGGTACGAAGCATACATGCCGAGGGGTTGAAAGACCCTGATCCCAAATCAGTAGTGCACATACACTCCAAGAACAAATAGTATGTGAACGTATCGTTGGTCACCGGCTACTAAGGGATTGCGTCTCTTAACATTGTTCCACTGTCTTTTGGATTAGACCTTGGCATTTAAGGCTCGGAGAGTAACCTACTAAGAAAACTACCTGTTTCGGTCTAAACACTCGGGAGGATCTTAGTCCATACACTAATTCAATAATTTATGTCGTGTAAATATTTAGGTACTGCTTTTTACTAATAATTATGTACTTAAGGAAACAGGTAGTCTGTTAGGATATTTATCCAATATCCTAAGAGAATTATTGGTCAGTTCCCAGTGGTTACTTCCTACTGGTCAATTTTATGGTCGTCCTAGATATCAATGTCACGTGCTCCAGTGTTGTTTCTTATTGGTTGTCCTGACTATCAATGTCACTTCAAATGTTGCTTCCTATTGGTCATCTAAACTGTCAATGTCACAGACTTCGATGCTGTTTCTTATTAGACCAAAATGTATAAATACGCATTATCTGTAACGTTGTTTGACCTGGACCCGGATCCTTTGTGTAAGATCCTGATTCTCTTCTCAACTAGGACCTTGTACTTTCTGGATGATTGTAGAATACAAGTTCTACTTCATATCAAGTGTTCTTATTTTTACTGAATATGGGGGGTTGGGATATTCGGATTTGAGTAGCATGTCTTGTCGCCGGATCCTCGCTCTCGTTTCCCGACTAAGCTAAACTCGTAATAGTTCAAGCATATCAAAATGACGTGTTAACGTGCAGGCGTAACATAATCGCCAGTTCATTTCGCTTGTATAGTGAGTATCTTAAGGTTCGCCTTCATCATAGTGTTGTTGTCAGTCAACGGTTCACATTAGTTCCTAATTCAATACATTAGTAGATTTTACTTGAAACTTTTAGTGTTTAGAGTTATCGCGTCGTACGTTCGAACCACTTCATTCGGTTTAAACAACCAAATAGAGTAAGTATCATCATCATCATCAGGCCTTGTAGGCATAAAATATCTGTGTGTGTGTGTGTCAAATTCACTTCAACATAGTATAAACAAGTCACTTCTTTTTTTATTGATCGGTTGATTGATTGATATTAATATTCTTTATTGTAAATGTTTTTTCATTTGTTAATAATTAATTAGGCTTTCTATGGACTTCAAATGATTTGCATCGTATGTCAACTTCAAGTACTCATTCATTGTCCGATACTGAATAGAAGGAACACACTATAATTATACTTCCAACAATAGTATGCTGCTTTAAACTCTAATAAGAATAATTCATATTCATTTCCACACTTCACTTAGTGTCTGTGATGATCAAAGAACAATTACAACTATAACTACTGTCCAATGATTGATTACCTATGATGATGATGATGTGATGTTTGGGGTGTGTATTATTACATAACTTATAAAATAAAAAAATTTACTGAAAATTTACTTGTAATTGAATAAATATTGTCACCCTGTCTGTTATGGTTTTCATTAAAAAATAACTCAAAAATTATTCTGTTAAGTCTAATCCTATCTATCATTGAACGTACGTACAATCGTATATTTTCACATGTTGTTTCCTATTGGTCAATATTCACGGTCGTTGTAACTGTATAAATATGCATTGTCTGTATTCTGACCTCATAAACAATTTTCCATTGAACAGTTTTGTGTTCTGATGTATTGGAGATTTGATAAGCAGAATTTGCGATCGTATTGGTCAATCGGTAGAATTTTGAGAAAGCTATAGGAAATCTAATGCGAGGTAGAGCAGCAGGTCCTGATAGACTGACCCATGAAATATTTAAGGGTGGTGGTCCAGTTTTAGTAGCTAGGTTGACTGAGATCTTAGGTAGAATCTGGGAACTGGACGTAATCCCATCCGACTGGTCTCAATCCTTGATTGTCCCAATTTATAAGAAAGGATAAAAGTCCTCTTGTGACAGTCACGGGGAGAACCGCATCCCAAATATGCTTGAATTGTTGCTTAGGGTAGTCAGAAGACTCTGCATTTTGTCAGAGTCTTCACCAAGTAGGACTATGTCATCGGCATACTCTAAGTCAATTAGCGAGCCCCCTGGTAAAACGTCTACTCCTGAAGATTCAGACGAGGATAAGCTTATATCTAGGAGCATATCTATGATGAAATTAAACAAGAATGGAGAGAGTGGACATCCCTGACGGACACCATGTGAAGTGAAGAATTCCGGTGACAGTTCGCCATTAATACCTCTACTATCTCTATCACTATGGGATTTGATTTGACATTTGCGTCTCTGTGCTAATGTGGTATGGCGACATGAACTTATGTACATACGTACGAAGTTCTACGTTGCAACTGACTGAGTGAGAATTTTGAGTAGCCGCATCGTGGACTACAATGCACCCTGAATGGAGAAGAGCATAGGCCGCCCCCGACACAGTTATTCTCCAACCTACATTGTCCTGGGCTTCCCTTTCCAGTTCTGTCCGATTTTTGTTCATTCTTCTTATATCTTTCTGTGTTTCTTGGCTTTCCTCTCTTTGTTTGACCGTGAGGGCTGGTCTTGTGTTGTAAGCTCATCGTTGAACAGATTATCGCAAACGCTCACGTAAATAAACAATGTATTCACTTCAGTTGCAACTAATCTAGGTATTTGATATATATGTGAATTCTGCTATAGAGGAAAGCCAATCAGAAGTGTCCGGATGAGGTCATTTGATGACAAATGTATATGATTAGTCAACAAATGGATTCATTATCTAAGGGGAAATAAGCGTATATATATATATAAATGCGTACTTATGTGTATGATTAGGTAGCCAAACAGATTTTCTATTCCGCTCTTGCCTTCACGATCTAGTGGTCAAGTTTACGGGGTTGGCATATCGTTGGGGAGGTTAGACCCCCGGATCTCGCTTATGCCTTATTTTGGATTTCATGTTTGCGAGCGTGTGGTGATCAGTTGACCTTGAGATTTCATTTTCCACTAGGAACGTGATTGGCTGCCGTTTATTTTAGTGTGCTATTTTCGTAACTGTCCCAAGGACGTTTCAATGATGCATAAATAAACGAGAGTTGTGTGCTTGATTGTATTGTGCTTGCTGGGTGTTTGTAGAATATACTTCCTACGCCTATCAAGACTTCTCTTTTGCCGTTTTCGGATCAAGGTAGCCTACCTCGATGCTGGTTCATTGTCTCCTTCACGTTTATCGATTAAGGTGAACGCGTTATAGCTTCAAGCGTACCTAGTGACGAACCTAACACCTATATCTTGATAATCATTTACCATTAAAAAAATTTCCTTTCTCAATGACATTCTAACAGTAGTTACTACCCATGAGATGTAGAATGTATGTCAGTCAGTCAGTCAGTTACGACGTAGAACTTCGTACGCAAAGTACTTCAGTTCAGGTTGCCATACCACGTTAGCAAAGAGACGCACTTGTCACTTCAAATCCCATAGTGGTAGAGATAGTAGAAATATTTGCGGTAATGCAAAAGATTAGGGAGAGAGGAATTCAGAAGACTAGAATTTGAGAGAGGAAGGATTTGATTTTGACCAATTTGGTCTCGTGTGCTGTTACGGGTATGAGGGCAGTTATCACTTCCCGGCTGCCCACACCGTGGAAGGTTGTTTCTTGAGGAACCTGAAAAGGAAAGTAGATTAGCGTTGGTCTTAGAAACTTCGGAGCGTGACCGCAGAGCACAACGGACAACTGCTTGAGGCCGGTCACGTACGGACATTTTATGAGAAGTTTTTTGAGTGTTAGCTCCGCTCTTGAAAGCCCTTAGTGGGTACCCTTACCCAAGGAGACGGAAATCCGTGAGGTGTGACATTTTGAGGGTCGACCTTTTCTAACCCTTCCTTCCTTGTGAGAAGGCAGCATCGCTGCAGATGCTGGTTGTCCGAGGGAAACACCTTACTGCCGTCACACCCCTCTTCAGTCAGCAGTACGACTTCGCCCTCAGTCTCATCGTTCTCCAATCGACCTACCTGGCATTGTAGAACCTTCAGGAACATAAGTTCCATCCAATGTAGCTCGGTTGGGTCATGACGATAGGCAAGCCCGACCACCACGTCAAGGTAACAGCTTCGGTCGGGAGAATTTGGGAGAACATAAAGAGTGAACGCAGCTGCGCCAGTGCAAAGGATTTTGAGCCATATCGTTCTTACATTGTAGCAGCACACAATGTAACAAATTAATTTACATAAATGTTATCATTTTAAAAGAAGCCAATGAATGCCATTCCTCAGAAGAAACAAACAAGTTGAAATGGAAAATATAATAGGTTAAAAAATAATAATTTATGTTCAATATTCAAACTGTACAGAAATTTGTTTTAATACATCTTGATTAAGTGAATAATCATTTTGTAAATTTTTAATTAAATCCCTAACATTAACACGTTCCACTTCATTAGTAATCATCATCCATGCAATATCAAATCTTGGTAATTTTATTAAATAAAATAAACGATCTAAAATATGTTGATTCGTCAGCTGAACAACAACATCACCATCGCCATCCTCATCATTTGTATGACACAATGCATAAAGCATATAAGATAAAAATGTACTATCCATATTTTCACCGAATAATTTTTTATAGTTGATTGGTTGAATATGACATAAATAACGGATTGCTTCTTTGCTAAGTTGATTTGATTGGTGATGTTGTTGGTGATGTTGATGATGATTGGATGAAGAATTTCGATGACATAATTCACGTAGTTCACGTTCCAATTGGAACCAATTCGATGGTGTTTTATACAATTTCATGTTAGTGGGTAATGATTGTTGTTGAATAACAGTAGGATTGTCAACATTGACATTACTGTTGGGTGTATTCATTGTGATCGATGAATATGACGCGTTTTCATTTGTTTTCACAACAGTGTTTAACATGGAACTCTGAACATTCGCATTACTGGTAGAGTTAGAGTTTTTTGTAATCATTTGTTGTGTAGGAAGTGGTGTTGTACTCGACATTGGTTTATGATGATCATCATTATTATTGCTGACTTCAATAATTGGTATTTGTCTCATTTTTCTCAATTTGTTTGAATGAACTGATGAGCTACTACTACTGCTGCTACTAGTTGTGGAAGAAGATTTCGATGTATCGTCCAGTTCTCTTTTCCCAGTTAAAGTTTTCAATTCATTTTGAGCAATTTTATTATTTGAATCAAATTTAAGCAATTCTTTTAAATCTTCAATTGCTCCAGCAGTATAACCTAACCCTTTACGTGCTAGTGCACGTCTAAAGAGAAAAAATAAAACGTTTTTTTTTAAATTAAAATCGTTTAATAAAAATTAATATTTTTGAAACCATGAATCGAGATCGATGTTAGACCGTCATTAGAAACCTGGAAGCATTGGACAAAGGCCGTTTCGTACTGGTATGGGACTCATCAGTGGCAGTGCGCATCCACGACTCCTGCTCCTCGCAGGATTCGAACCCAGGACCTTCGGTATTGTGCGCGAACACTGATGCGCACTGCTGAGGAGTACCATACTAGGACGAAACGGCCTTTGTCCAGTGCTTTCAGGTTTCTAATGGTTATAGTCTAACATTGATCGATTCATGGTTTCAAAAATGTGTAACTTAACAACCTTCACAACAACCCCGTAATAAAAATTAATATGTCACAGTATAATATTATTGTACACAGTTTGTACAGAAACATATATATCGATTTTTGCGCTCATTATCATTGATCAATAAAAAGATGTGACTTGAACATTGAATATAATCATTGTTTGATAGTAGTTAGTGATGATACAGGGCATCGATTTCTTTTTTTTTTTTAAAAAAAATCAACACAACTTAATTCATGTAAGCTACTTGGTTAGGGTCCGCGAGACGGAAGTCACCTATGTTTAGTGACCTTGAATGACATGGCTCAAAATCGTATGGAATGGCGCCGGTGTAGTTATTCTTTGTGTTTTCTCAAATCCTAGTCTTCTGGATTCGTCAGCACCTCTATCTTTGTCTTTCTAACCTTACCTCACTGAATTATAGTTCTTTAATGATATCTCCGAACCCTAATCTCCTTTACCAGTGATACTTCTACTATGTTTATCACTATGGGATTTGATTTGACATTTGCGTCTCTGTGCTGCTAATGTGGTATGGCAACATGAACTGATGTACTTACGTACGAAGTTCTACGTTGCAACTGACTGACTGACTGGATTCATGAATGGTAGCTGAAAAATCTACACAAAATAATCGCCTAATCTACACTAGTTAAATAACAACGGTTATACTTTTCAATAGACATATGGCATACATCAAACAGGTTACAGTTGCAGTGTATCGAATATAATGATTGTTGGAGAAACTATAGGTAATCTATTTTGAATCACATACTTGTTCTTAGGAAAAAGATAGAAAAAATGAATGGGCATAAATATTTTCAATGGTTTTATTGATTAAATGGGTTGTAACCCAAGTGTCTGACAATACTATTTAAGTGTATGATAGATCGATACGTAGAGTAAGTATTAGGAAGAGGTGCGAGAGGAAATTTATGAAACTACAGGAATCAGTTTGTATGCTTCCCACAACCCGACCGTAGCTGCTACCTAGACGTGATGGTTGGGCTTGCCTGTTGTGTTGACCGAACCGAGTTATACTGGCTGGAATGCGTGTTACTTTAGGCCCCCTTAGAGTTTTACTTAACGATAAAAAAGGCCTAGAGTATATTTCAAGAGCAACTAAAAAACAATTAGGCAGACATATAATTGATACCTACCGCGAGGCAACTTGGAACGATATCGAAAAAGCTGTGGAAACAGCAGTGATATCTGCTAGTAAGGTAAACCGTAAGGCCAGGAAGAAGCCGCAGATCTCAGCAGAATCTACCAGACTGGTACATTCTAGGAAACTCATCCCATCTGGCTCCGGACATGATGAGGAACGGAATCAGCTTAAACGCAGGCTGATAGAAAGCCTACGCATTGATCGCGAACAGTGGTAGGTGGCGAAAGCAAAAGAGATGGAAAAGGCGGTGGCGATAGGTGACAGTAGACAACTTTTCAGCCTTATCAAAAAAACCGGTATTAGAAATCCAACTGATAGCGAGATTATTATCACTGAGAAAGATTGGCTTATTATTCACTCTAAATTCAGAAGATTGGATCGAAGGGCAGAACAATTTAGTAAGGGGTTCAAATTGCCTTCAGCCACACTTCAGTTACCCACAATCTCCAGTCAACCGGAATGGCCAACTGATGTTAATCCTCCAACTCTTAATGAAGTGAGGGAGGGCAACAGGTCCTGATAGATTGATCGCTGAGATTTTAAACGATAGGGGTCCGGTTTTAGCAGTGCGAATGAGTGAGATTTTAGCTAGAATTTTGGAACTAGACGTAATGTCATCTGACTACTCGAAATTACTGATTGTTCTAGTCTATAAGAAAGGACAAAAGTCTTCTTGCGACAATCACAGAAGAATCAGTTTAGCTAATGAATTATCTAAGATATTAGCTTCGATAACACTTCGACATCTAACTAGAGCTTGTGAAGAGCAGACTTAAGAAAACCACGCTGGTTTCAGACCCCGAAGTTGATGTATAGACCATATATTCACACTTCGTCAGGTCCTGGAATAAAGACACATTTTGTCTTTTTATTCGAACACGACTGATCAAGTGAAATCCAATGGCGAACTGTCATCGGCATTGATTACTTCAAATGGTGTTCGTCAGGGATGTCCATTTTAACTTTGACATGCTTTTATAGGTCAGAATCTCATTGTCTGACTTTTCAGAAGTTGACCTTCTACAAGGAGACTAGCTTGCTGACTTAGAGTATGCTGATAACATGGTCCTATTCGGTGAAGACGCTAGCAAAATGCAGAGTCTTCCGACTACCCTAAGATCAGGATTGGCTTGTATCGGCACCTAAACTTGTGATAGGGAGTGAAGCAGTTGAGCATGTTGACCGCTTCATAGTCTCATTAGTGTTGAAGCCCTGGTATGTGACGAAATCTCAGCACGGATACAGAAGTTTCGACTAGCTTCTGTCAACTTGCGTCGCTTATGGTGTAGGCGAGATATCCGTTCGCTAACCAAAGGACGAGTGTACTGTGCAGTAGTTCGCTCCGTCCTACTTTATGTCTGTGAAAAAATAGCCAGTGAGAGTAGGTTACTAGTTCTCAATCATAGGTGTCTTCGAAGCATTGCTCGTATACCCTGGGACACCCGAGTGAGCAACGCTGCTATTAGGAATCGGGTGCTAGGTAAGAATGGCAGATCAATAGACGCAGTAGTGACACTTCATCAGTTGAGGTGGTTGGGACATGTGTTACGTATGGCTAACCACTGACTGCCTCGTCGTGCTTTGTTTTGTGGTGTAGGAATAGGTTGGAAGAAAGCTAGGAGCGGCAAAACCAAAACATGGCACAAGTCCATGAAGTCACTGACAACCGGACTGAGTCATGTTGGTAGATGTAGGCTACTTGGTTGGGGTCCGCGAGACGAAAGTCACCGATGGTTAAAGAACTTGAATGACATCGCTTGAAATCATTTCCAAAGACGTATATGAGTCTACTCTTTTTCTTCTCTCAAATTCTAATCTTCTGAATTCCTCATGACTAATTTTTTTAAAGTTCATTTCACTTAATTGTACTTCCTGAATAAATATTTTCGACACATAATCTCTCCGATTACTGCTAATACTACTACTATTACCTCTACTACTATAAGATTTGAATTGACAATTCGATCTTTGTGTGCTAATGTGTTATTGGTGTTTCGTATCTGTAATTACGAGTCTTTTCGAATTAATGTATAAAATAAACACATGAAGAATACAAGGTACCTGAATGGTTTCTCTAGCGTTCTGATTGATAATTTGAGGAATGGATGAGTTTTTAAGTGAGCTTTCAACAGTTGGTATATATACAATAACTGAGTTAGTAGATGTAAGAAAACTCACAGCATGTAGACGGTAGATAGTTGAAGGGGGAATCGACAAGAAGTCTCGAATTAAGGTTTTGTTTCAGTCATCACTAATCAACCGTCAGTCAGTCAGATGCAACGAAGAACTTCGTACGTAAGTAAATCAGTTCATGTTGCTATACCACATCAGCACAGAGAGGTGTTGAAGAATCCAGAAGATTAGGATTTAAGAGAACACAAAGAACAAATGCACCGGCGCCATTGTAAACGGTTTTAAGCCATGTCATTCAGGGTCTCTAGCCATCTATTATTATCATTTTGCGAACCTCAACCAGATAGTCGACAACTACCGACATGACTCAGTACACTTGTCAATGACTTCATGGATTTTTGCCATGTTTAGGTCTGGCCGACCCTATCTTTCTTCCAACCTACTCGTACAGCACAAAACACGGCTCGTCGAGGCAGTCGGTGGTGAGGCATCTATAACACATGTTCCAACCACCTCAACTGATGAAGCTTCACTACTTCATCTATTGATTTGCCATCCATACATAGAACTCGTTTCCTAACAACGGCATTGCTTATACGGTTGTCCCAGGATACAGGAGCAATGCTTCGGAGACACCTATGATCGAAGGTCATTACCCTATGAATATCTTCTACTCTGACTGGCCATGTTTCACAGCCATAAAGTAGGACGGAGCGAACTACTGAACAGTACGCTCGTCCTTTAGTCAGCAGAAGGGGGAGGAGAAAGAACACTAGAGAATTTTTAGAAGCTTGGCACTCAGGCCAATCAGCAATCAACAAACACATCGACATTGACTCAATTTATCAACCAATCAGGAAAATCATAGGTGACATAGGATCAAGAAACAGATCAAAAGGTGGGTGCAATCAAAACAAAGTTGCAAACAACGACAGGTCAAAAGTCAACAGCAACCAATCAAGATCGAGGTTAGCAGAACAAGCTACAGGTCAAACGTGGAGAAATTCGAATACTTCACTTCTATCTGAAGTTTGTGCTGATGATGTTGTTCAGAAGAACAATGAAAGCTCCACAACCAAAACACCCAGCTCAGAGAACCAAACACCACCACAATCATCCACCCGAGCTACAAGTTTTCTCCACCATCTCAAAAATGGATATCTCGCCTACACCATAAGTGACGCAGGTTGGCAAAAGCCAATTGAGCCTTCTGTATCCGAGCTGAGATTTCGTCAGTCACCAGGCCATCAGCACTGACGAGACTGCCCAGATTAGTGAAGCGGTCTACACGCTCGACTACTTCACTCCCTATCACTAGTTCAGGTGCTGATGCAACCCAATCTTGAAGCAAGATTTTGCATTTCGAGGGTGAGAACCGCATCCCGAACATGCTTGCATTGTTGCTTATGAAGGTGGTCAGAAGACTCTGCATTTTGTCAGCGTCTTCACCAAGTAGGACTATGTCATCGGTACTAATCAACAGAACGCTTCAGAAATCTTGATATTTTCATGAGACTCAATCACAAACATAATATAACATTTTACGCAATCAACTTATCAATCAATGTAAATATTTTCAAATTATGAAGTTGAATACCTATCTGACAGACAGACAGATACAACGCAGAACTTCGTACGTAAGTACATCAGTTAAGGTTGCCATATCACACATCAGCACAGAGATGTAACTGTCAGTTCAAATCCAACAGTGATAGCGATACCTATCTAATTGGAATAAAAAACATCACAAACTATAATACAATGATTATAGAATATCATCTTTTCTTTTAAATACTTACCGATAAAATGCTTTCACTGAACTGTTGTCTAATCTTAACGCATTGGTACAATCCACTTCAGCGGATGCATAACGTTCTGTTTTAATATAAGCAAATGCACGATTTATATACGGCGTAGAATCTTCCGGTGTAAGTCGTATAGCCATGGTGTACTGTTCAATAGCTTCATTGAATTTACCTTCCTATTGATTTTATTTGGATGAAATAATTGAATTTTTAAAAAAGTTGTGTACACATTCAAGTTTTATTTTTTGTGGATAATTGAGACAATGATCAAATAATATCAGTAAATATACCAAACATACTAATCCAACTTAGATTGCCTTCATATGAAAAAATCCATGAAGTCATTGACGAGTGGACTGAGTCATGTCGGTAATTGTCGACTAGCTGGTTGGGGTCCGCGAGATGATAATAATCGATGGTTAGAGACCGTGAATGATATGGCTCAGAATCATTTGCAATGGCGTCGTTGCATTTATTCTTTGTGTTCTCTCTTAAATCCTAATCTTCTGGATTCTTCAACACCTCTAGTTTTGACTTTCTAAACTTTTCTCATTAAATCATACTTCTTCTTGAATAATATCTTCTAATCCTAACCTCTCCGATTACTTCTAATACCTTTACTACCTCTTCTACTATTGGATTTGAATTGACAATTACATCTCTGTGCTGATGTGGTATGGCGACATGAACTGATGTACTTACGTACGAAGTCCTACGTTGCATCTGACTGACTGACTTCATATGAAAAGAGATGCCAGTTTCTTTATTTTTTGTACAAAAATTTACATTTATGAAATGGAAATCAAGATTTATATGAATAGAAGTAAGAAAATACAAAAAACACGTCGAGATAAATGGACGACATTATCTAAACAGTGAAAAGCTTGTATACAAGAAGGATTGATTTATTTTTTAAATTCAGTAATATTTGAGTAGACAGGTCTATAATAAGGCTGAGTAAGAGTTTTACTAACGTACTTACTTACTTACTTACGCCTGTTACCCTAAATGAGGTATAGGCTGCCACCGACTAGTATTCTCCAATCAACTCTGTCCTGGGCTTCCCTTTCCAGTTCTGTCCAGTTTTTGTTCATTTTTCTCACATCTTTCTTTATTTCTCGGCGTAATTTGTTCCTTGGCCTTCCTCTTTTCCTTTCGCCTTGAGGGTTCCATGTGAGGGCTTGTCTCGTGATGCAGTTGGGTGCTTTACGCACTGTGTCCTACCCACTTCCACCGTTTCTTCCTGATTTCCTCCTCCGCTGAAATCTGCTTTGTTCTCTCCCACAGTAGGTTGTTGCTGATAGTGTCTGGCCAACGAATCCGAAGTATTTTGCAAAGACAACTGTTAAGGAATACTTGTATCTTCTGGAGGATGGCTTTTGTAGTTCTCCAAATTTCCGCTCCATACAATAGAACTGTCTTGACATTTGTATTAAAAATCCTAATCTTGGTGTTGAATGATAGCTGTTTTGAGTTCCAGATATTTTTCAATTTTAAAAATGCAGCCCTTGCCTTGTCGATTCGCGCCCTCACATCGGCATCGGATCCACCCTGATTGTCATGATGCTGTCCAGATATGTAAAGGTTTTAACGTCCTCCAAGTTGTGTCCATCGAGAGTGATTTGGTTGGCTCATGTTGTGTTGCATCGGAGAATTTTGTTTTTTCCTTCCGGATACCGTGCTTCCCTCCAGATGTTGATGTCTTGATAATCCAGTCGATCACCGGGCTTGGGACCGGCAGTAGCCCCGAAGGGTCTACTGGCAGAGTTGACAAGGGTTTTAGTCTCTGTTTTTAACGATTTGTTGAAATATTATTCAATAGGTTAAAATGCACTCACAGTTAATAGTTCAAAATGGAGTTACGCAATAAATCGACCTATTTCTGGTCTCCAAACTGTTACAACTACATCAGACAAATATCGATGTGAATGAATGGCAATCAAGTTAAAGACATTGAAGTTATTGTTACAGGATGATTGTGTTCGTAGGGTAAAAAAAATCTCTACAAAATTTGAACTTATTATTAATTACCCGGTGTTTTCCCACCAGCATGGATATAGAAGGCTTGATTGGCGTTTGCCAACCTGCGTCACTAATAGCGTAGGTGAGATATCCGTTCGCTGACTAAAAGAACGAGTGTACTGTGCAGTAGTTCGCTACGTCCTAATTTATATCTGTGAAACATGGCCAGTCAGAGTAGAAGATATTCGTAGGTTGCTGGCTTTTGCTCATAGGTGTCTCCGAAGCATTGCTGGAGTATCATGGGACAGCCGAGTAAGCAATGCCGTTCTTAGGAAACGGGTTCTAGGTAAGGATGGTAGGTCGAAAGTTGAAGTAGTGAAACTTCATCAGTTGAGGTGGTTGCGACATGTGTTACGTAAGCCTAACCACCGACTGCCTCGTCAAGCTATATTTTGCGATGTAGAAATAGGTTGGAAGAAATCTAGGGGCGGCAATAGCAAAACATGGCACAAATCCTTGAAGTCACTGACAAGTGGACTGAGTCATGTTGGTAGCTATCGACTACCTTGGTTGGGGCCCGCGAGATGATAGTAATCGATGGTTAGAGACCCTGAATGTGACATGGCTCAAAACCGTTTGCAATGGCGCAGATGCATTCATTCCTTGTATTATCTTAAATGCTAAACTTCTTAATTCCTCATCACCTTTATCTTTTTATTTTTAAGTTTATTTCACTAGATTCTACTTCTTGAATAATATATTCTAATCCTAATCTCTGCGATTACTGCTAATACTTTTACTACCTCTACTACTATGGGATTTGAATTGACAATTACATCTGTGTGCTAATGTGGCATGGCAACTTGAACTGATGTACGTATGTACTTACCAAGTTCTACGTTGCTGTTGATTGATTGATTGATTGATCAGTGTTTTCGCACCGAATAATCAGCTTTTAGAACCTACTACCAGCATGAGTAATATTTTCTGTTTAAACTGAATCATTCAAGAGATAAAAGCACACACACACAACCTAACTAAAAGACAACTAATAAAAACCCTTAGCCTTCTATCCTTGAAATAAAATAATCTGCATATGAGAATTCATGAAAACATTATGATAACTGAGATTAAATTGTTAACATCTAACTCTATGAGAAAAACAAAAAATAGACAATACATGATTGCACTAACCTTAAAACGAACATTGCCTAATTCACGAGCTTCTTTAGATAATTCAATACGTCTTTGATCTTCTTTCTCTTCATCTGTTATTTCACTACTACTACTACTACTACTACTACTACTACTACTAGACGCTTGGCCATTCAGAGAAGTTGACTTTTTATCAACATCATCACGATCAACAACAGCACTATCATCGTCATCGTCATCTACGGCATGGTTAGCAACGAATTTATCCCATGCTTGATAATCATATGCTTTAATTCGTTCAACTTTTTTTTTAGTATTCACATTTTGTTTCATTGTTTTCTAGAAATGAATTCGATTAGTTGGAGCGACAAAAAATTATCCAAGTACCTTTTTCTGTTTTTGCAGTAAACTATTACGTATAGCTGGTAATTCTGGTTGAGCAGTTTTCGTTAAATGTTGACTTTTCAATTCAACTGTTTTTTTCCATGCTTCAAAATCATTTAAAAAACTTTCTACTTCCATATTATTTTCACGCATTTGCATTTGAAAATTTAAAAATTTCTCTGCATCCATGGTTAGTTTAGTTTAGTTTAGCAGTTTTTGAATGAATTAATTAAGTTAGATAAAACAAATAATACCTAAAAAGAATAAAATATAATGTGAAATGCAACTGTTCACATTTGAACAAGGAATATCTTTTAAATGTAAACTCATCAACAACAATTTATGAATATATTTGTATATTTTCTGGAGAAATATTATAAAAGTCATAATCCAGAAGGTACAAGTGTTTATTTAGTTAGTCAAGGTGGTTGGAACATGTGCTGTGTATGCCTAACCACTGACTGCCTCGATGAGCTTTGTTTTGTAGTGTTGGAATAGGTTGGAAGAAAGTTAGGGGCGGCCAGACCAAAACATGTCAGAAATCCATGAAGTCATTGACGAATGGACTTAGCCATGTCGGTAATTGTCGACTACCTGGTTGGGGTAGTCACTGATGGTTAGAGACCTTGAACGACATGGCTCAAAGCTGTTTGCAATGGCGCCGGTGCATTTATTTTTTGTGTTCTCTCAAATTCTAAGCTTCTGGATTATTCAACCCTTCTAGTTTTGACTTTCTAAACTTTTCTCACTGAATCATACTTCTTGAATAATATCTTCTAATCCTAACCTCTCCGATTACTTCTAATACCTTTAGTACCTCTTCTACTACTGCATTTGAATTGACAATTATATCTCTGTGCTGATGTGGTATAGCAACATGAACTGATGTACTCTCATGTACGAAGTTCTACGTTGCATCTGACTGACTGGATCAGATAGTAACATTTGAATTTATTATTCTACCATACCGACTAGAGAGTTCTCGTACCTTTTTATTTTCAATACCTTTGCCTATATAAGTTAGTTAGTCAGTCAGTCAGTTACAACGCAGAACTTCATTCGTACGTACATTATTTTAAGTTGCCATAACACTATACCACGGAGATGCACTTGTCGATTCAAATCCCATAGTGGTAGAGGTAGTAGAAGTATGAGCAGTAATCAGAAAGATCACGGTCCGAAGATATTATTCAAGGAGTATAATCTAGTGAAATAGATTTGAGACAAGAAAGACAAGAAGGTCATGAGGAGTTTAGATTATAATCTGGGAGAACACAAAGAATGGATGCATCTGCGCCACTGCTAACGATTTTAAGTCATGTCATTAAAAGTATCAAACTATCGATCATTATTATCTCGAGGATCCACACCAGGTGGTCTACATCTACCAATATGGCTCAGTTCAATAGTCAGTGATCTCATGGATTTGTGCCATGTTTTCGTTAGGCCACTCCTAGCTTTCTTTTAGCCTACCCCTACACCAAAATTACATCACTCGTCTAGGCAGTCGGTGGTTGGGTATAGATAACACATATTTTAACCATCTCAAATGATAAAGATTCATCACTTCATCAACTGATTTGCCATCCTTGCCTAGTACTCGTTTCTTAACAACAGCATTGATTACTCAGTCTTCCCAAGATAAACGAGCAATGCTTCGGACACACCTATGATCGAATAACAGTAACATAACAATGTTTTCTACTCTTACTGGCCATGTTTCAGAGGCATATATATGGGTACGGAGAGAACTGCTGCATAGTAAATCCGTACTTTTGTTCGCAGACAGATATCTAACCGACTCCATAAGTTACGCAAGTTAGCAAAAGATGATCGGGTCTTCCGTATCCGTGCTGAGATTTCGTCACACACCAGGCCATCAGCAATGATGAGACTCCCGAGTTAAGTGAAGCGGTCAGCACGCTCAACCCTTTAATTCCCTAATGCTAGTTCAGGTGGCGATGCGACTCAATCTTGAAGCAACATTTCGCATTTTGAGGGGGAACCGTAACCCGAACATGTTCACATTGTTGCTTAGGGTAGTTAGAAGACTGCATTTTGTCAGCGTCCTCATCGAACAGAACTATGTCATCAGCATACTCTAGGTCAGCACGCGTGTCTCCTGGTAGCAGGTTCACCCCTGAAAAATCAGACGAGCGTAATTCTAACTCTAAAAGTATGTCCGTGACAAAGTTAAACAGGAATGGAGACAGTGGGCAGCCCTGATGAACACCACTTGAAGTAAAGAATGCCGATGACAGTTCGCAATAAGTTCTTACTCGACCAGTGGTGTTCGACTAGAGAGCTTGTATAAGGTTAATGTAATTCTTTGGTACACATTTTAATGACAGAACGCTCGTCATTTTCTCAGCGTCTTCACCAAATAGAACTTTATTATCGGTATATTCTAAGTCAGTAGGTGAATCTCTTGGAAAAAGTTCAATTTCTGAAAAATCAGACAAGGAAAGTGTTATTTCGACAAGTATGTTTGTAGTAATTGTTAATTAACAATTGTCTAGACAAAATACTTCGGATGCTTTGGCCATACACTGTCAGCAAACACCTAATGTGAAAAAGAGAAAACCTGATTCCAGTTCAGGAAGAAATCAAGAAGAAGGGCTAGAGTTGGATAGAACTTACACTGAGGAAAGCACACAACTGCGTCACATGACTGTGCCCTCACTTAGAATCCTCACGGGCAAAGGAAAAGAGGAAGACCAAAAAAACACATTGTACCGAAAAATGGAGACTGACATAAGGAGAGTGAACAACAGTTGGGCAGAACTACAAAGGAAGGCCCAGGACAGAGTAGGTTGGAGAATGCCGGTTCACGACCTATGCTCCATTGGGGCGAACAAGCGTAAGTAAGCATCATATAGACACCTTATTAAGATGAAATGCAGTAACAAACTCAGGACATACTTTTGAGGCATAAGAGGGGACAGTATCGTTGGAATACTTGTGTAAAATTTTTTATATGAGGAATAAACCGGTTATTTGAATACAATACAGATCATAGACACCCGTATGCTGTGAATTTATTTAACAGAGTGTACCGAGTAACCATTATTTGGCTTTTTCCGTGTAATGAACATAGTATCAACCCACATAATTTATTAACACCCTTGACAAACTTTGATTACTTCTCGTCTTCCGATTCCGGTAATACTATTGCCTTTATTATTGTAATACTTATCTTTTTACTATCATTTTATTGTGTCGATAAGAAAGATTGAGACTTATGACCTCTCCTGTGTTCAAAAATCTCATTGTCATAGAACTATTGGTTTGTTTAGCATTCCCTAACAATAAATTGAAACAAAAATCGTAACTATTTACGTCGGTTTCCATATAAGTAGTCGTGAAACATGATAAGCATTATGATCGACCGGAGACTTATATTTGAAAAATACTTATAGACAAGTGATACAAACTATTAAAAAAGATTTTTTCGGGTTAGCTACTTGTGCAAACTTATTAAAGAGGAAAACCACTGAAAAGAATCTACATAACCAGAATGTTTAAAATCGTTTTGGTAAGCTAGGGTAAAATAAACAATTCCCTTATACCGTTTGTTGACTAGTTTATCGTTACAGTACGAATGGATGCGTTTGTCGCGGGGCAGAGAAGTAACTGGAACCAGCGACTTCAATGTTATCAGACAGGTGTGAATATATTTCCTCGAAAGCAGGAAACCGAGTAGTAAGTACCAAACTCTCTACTGTATGCAACAATCAGAATAAAGCTAGCTTTTGATACCAGAATACCGTGGATGGATATAAATGAAAAAGACTATCAACATTCCGAATTCAACGGATAAAATATTAGACCAATAAGATGGAGTTACACACGCTTTTAAAGATTTCGAAACATACTACTTTAATAAATCACGATCACGTATTGAAAGTTAAGGTAATTTAGTAGAGCTCACACAGTGTAACCAAATTTCCTGCATCTAAAACTTAATGCCTACAGTTGGTTATGATCATAACGACCTTGACATTAAATATGCTGAGTGTAGATTCCAATAGTGTAACCAACAACTACAATCTACAACACCCAATATAGAAAGGCGAAAAAACGAAGATTTTCTTCCTTATTTGTGATGTCGTCACTATCTTATCTGTTCTTGAACAACAAAAGCGGTAATATTGCGCATCCTAAAAGAAAATATTGGCGCGATTTGAAAAACAGGAGTGAAGTTCCTACGCGTTGAGATTTTAGAGTTCTGGCACATTTATCGTGCCAAATATAATATTTAATCTCATGTTTGACGCTTTTAGAGATATCTGTGTTTAGAAAGTACCTTTTTACAAAGTCGTTACTTCAGCTTTCATTAGTTGAATATTTTTGTTAGGGTATAATCTTTGTATTCGAATACATCGTGTTACGGTTATCTCCTTCATGGCTCAGGTTTGCTAATTTTTGACATTTTGATGCTTTGACTATCACTGGCTAAAGTTACGGTTTTTGTCATGTTTATAGCTACTGCAATAACGCTATATTTTTGGACGTTTTGTTGTTCGCTGTTCGACGTTCTCCTTTTAATCAGCATCATTCTGGTTAAAATGGTCATGTAAAGTTATCTATGTCGTATACTATAGTTCCTCTTTCCTACTATATATTGAACGTAGTGTGACCGGCATATGAGGTGGTTTCACAAAATGTGTGCAAATAAGCCATCCTCTGCGTATATACGTTAATGAAAACTTGTCCCACGATGTTTATGTTCAGAATGCTGACTAACCTAAGCTATTCTCTTAGATTAAGCCCTGAAACGTCCATCTTTGCTTAAAAATTGCTACTTGACTACATGCACTCAGTAGTTTCGAGATCATATGAGGAGGAAGTCGAAAATGTAGTGGTTAGAGCCATTAGCTCATGTTTTATTACTGATCAAAAGGCTGAAGAACAAATTACTGACATGCTAAGAGAGTGGACAACTGTCTAGACCATCATTACACATAATCGCAATAATTTTCACATTGTCAAGAGAAGGAAGCTACCACTCTAAACATTGATGATGATATGAATGTAACTATTGGATGTGTAGAGATCAGAACGTTCGGACAGTAAAAATTAGATAATACGAAGAAAGTGATTCTTATGAAATTCAAAATCAAGAAGTCAACTGTTGTAACGGTTGCTTACGATATTTCCCGGCTAAATCTTATTGCTTAGTATTCTTGACACAAAACACTGGACAAGTAACACAAATCAAAACACGGTTGAACAGGAAGGATTGTATTCCAAAATAGCAAGGAAAAGAAGCTGGAGGTGATGGCGAAAGCCAAGGCAAAAAGGCTTGAAAGCGAAGAAGGCTAGAAGGCGAAGATAAATACAATGCTAGTCTATTTATAGCCTTTGCATGAGAAAACTTCTGGAAGGAAATTCACGTGATCGACTGGACTGGATTTGACCAATCAGCATGCAGCTAATAATACGAGAATTTTCTATCCTGTTCTCCAAGCTTCGATCAGGCGCTGATTGGATAGGAAATTAGCCAATCAGCGCGCAGCAACGTAGTCGTGCTTCAATTCCATCTATGTCCCGCTAACACCTCCCCTTTGAGAAAATTCGTAGGATCTGGTGCTAGAGTCCAACTGCTTCCTGGGTGCCTTGCCACCCGTACTCTTACGAGCCGCCTGCTTTGTAGGAACCATATCTTTAAACAACCGTCGATCGGGCTGCTTCCCCACCGATAAGTTTTGTTGAGGCTCATGAACAGCATATGGTATAGGGCGTCTCGGACGTGAAGTAGGTTTGGCATCTGCTTTCGCTGGTAGGTTAGCTTTCAGATTCGTACAGCGGCCAAGGCTATTCTGAGAAACAGAGGCTGACTTCCTCTTTCGTTTATCTTGTAACCTTTCACTTGTCTTGTTTTTAAGTATCGGGGTGTCCAATGATGAACACGATACGCTGCAGACACTGTTAATGGGTAAATCCATTATTCCCAGCTTTTCTAGCATATCTAGACCAAGAAGATCAAGGTTTGGCCGTTCTGTCAGATAGCATATTCCTGTACATTTTTTCCGTTGAAGGAAAATTTACACTGGAATTCACCAACCAGTTTTAACACACCACCTGAAGCGCTTTTAGCTGTTTTCTTAGATGGCTTCATTGGCGGTTTTCCCAGCAAGTTGTACGTTTCTCTAGACATTAAGGTGATATCTGATGCCGTGTCGATTTGGAAACGAGCTGATGCACCGTTCATCTGTATAGTGACATACTTTCTCCGAACGTCATAGTCTGTTTGAAAAGCAGCTACGAGAGAAAGTGATTTAGACTCGGCTGATTTCACCACATGTCGAGTACGTTTGCGCTTCTTCTTGGGCTGAGACGTACGATTTGGTTGGCAATGGCCTTCTTTATGTCCACGTTTAAGGCACATCTGACATTTATGTTTTTTAAATGGACAAAATCGTACGTAGTGCCAATCACCACATAACCAACATGCCGTCGTTGGTTTGTTACGAGATGCTATCGGCTTCTGGACTTTTAACCTAGTAATAGCATTGACACTACTGCTGGTTAAATTGTGATTTACCTGTTCAATCAACATGTTGTCGTGCCTGATACTTTGTAGGCGTTTACACTCATCTGTCAATGTTCTGAGTGTGACGTTAGGGTCTTGGTCCATTCGAATCAAAAGTCTAGTTCTGGTTTCAGCATCTTGCGGTGACTGAAGAGCTTTGATGAATATTAAGCATTTAAATTGGTCTTCCGTCAACGAGCGTAACTTGAACCGTTCACATTCTCTGTTGACGACGTCTGCAAGAACCGCATATTCATCATCTTCGTGTTTCACCAGATTTAGACAATGATATCTAATACTAAACAATGATGCTGATTCGCCGAAAATATCTGACAGCTGAGTTACTGTCTCCTCGAAACTGAGCTCTCGAGGTAACTTCGGTAATATGTGGTCAGCGTAACGTTCATACTCACTGCTTCCCAACTTACGCAGCAACAACCGAGTCTTCCATGCATCATCTTGTTTACCGAATTCAATTCTAAATGTATCTTCCCAACGTTTGAACCACGTCAGAAAAGTATTTCCACATTCAGGATTATAGACGAATTCTGGTATGCTGTTAGCCACTGCTTCACAAGACGTATTTGAAACAGTATGTGGACTCGAACACTGGATGTTGAGCTGTTGAGTTAGGGTCTCCAACAACCGCATTTGTGCATCTAATTGTGCTTGCTGTTGTTGTAGTATTCGGTTAAGCTGATCATCTGAAATAGGCATCTTGAAATTTTTTTCCTTTTTCTCCGTCGCCACTGTTGTAACGGTTGCTTACGATATTTCCCGGCTAAATCTTATTGCTTAGTATTCTTGACACAAAACACTGGACAAGTAACACAAATCAAAACACGGTTGAACAGGAAGGATTGTATTCCAAAATAGCAAGGAAAAGAAGCTGGAGGTGATGGCGAAAGCCAAGGCAAAAAGGCTTGAAAGCGAAGAAGGCTAGAAGGCTTGAAGGCAGAGATAAATACAATGCTAGTCTATTTATAGCCTTTGCATGAGAAAACTTCTGGAAGGAAATTCACGTGATCGACTGGACTGGATTTGACCAATCAGCATGCAGCTAATAAGACGAGAATTTTCTATCCTGTTCTCCAAGCTTCGATCAGGCGCTGATTGGATAGGAAATTAGCCAATCAAGTTCATAAATGGAGTGTTTGAGAAATAAAATGTTCAAGTTGATTTTACTGATGGACGAATGAAGTTAAGTGTTATTGTTATTATTGATGTAGACTGTTTTTCAACGGTTGGATGTTGCATGTTCATTAGAAGTTATACGGTCATAAACCGCAGGAGAGGAGGCGTAATTTTCCGTGATTTAGATCACTTTCGCGAAGTTAGCAGATCAGAGGTGCATGATAACCATAAACGTAATGTCGCTTTTTGTATGACACAAATCAGACATCGGTCTGTAGAAGTGAATAAATACCCAATATAAATAGTTCTCCAAGTCTTTAATATTGATGCCGACTTCATCATCCGCATGAGGTCATCTTTAGTTAGGCATCTCCTCGCATCAGCTAATAGGCTTATTTCACTAACTAATCAACATCCCAGCCATCATTCAAGTATGCCTTTCATCCTGGTCATTTTTAACCTCTGGCTTCACTTGTCTTTGCTTATCCTCGGTCTGAATTGTGTTAAGGACAAAAACATTGTCCAACTGTGAATAAACGTTACATTCTCATTAGTGAGCACGACGTGTCCTGGTAAACTTAACGAAATGCCGTAAGTCTGTTCCTTGCCATAATGTTATACTTGCTTATGTATTTTACACGTTGCGATACCATTTTTATTCTGAGAAATTTATACATACTCTATTGCTGTTATGTTGAAACACACATCTGAGCCTCGTATTATTAAGGTTATTATGCCGCCGAACTTCCAACTAATGTTATTCTCCCGTAAAGAGACCGATACCCAATCTTCTTAGCAGAGCCCGGTACCGACTAACGCAGCATGACAGACCAACTTGAAAAATTCCTCGCCGCACAAGCTGAACAGGTACGACACATCTAGTATGTTTGATAATAATGTTACTGAAACCTATAATACCATAATAAGTCAATTCTTAAGTATGGGAACCAAACCGATTGGCAGAGGTTAGACGAAATTTTTCACAACATCAAACTTCAACAATGATAAGCGACAGAAATGGCACTATGCGTGAAAGAGGTCGTTAGTCAGCGACCTTTGAACAAAAGTCTTCTTAAAACTCTTCCCATCCAAACTTCCTCAACAGGTGCTAGCTCTGTTCCTCGCATTTTGAAATGACGCCGTGGACGATATAACGACTGCCGATTGGGTTCTGTAGATCAACATTACTCCCAACAAAGGGATTTATTATCTTGAACATGCACTTCGACAGACTGGAAACGGATTTACGAGCCTCTGTAACACAGTCGTTCGCCTTCCAGATCGTTAGCATAATCCCGAAAGATCAAAAACTCTCCGATGA